TTGACGATATTACGCGAACGATTCTCCGCTGAAGATATGCTGTGAGCGGGGGAAGGGGGGATTAAAGATAAAATGAAAAATATATATTATTTATAAAGTTCAAAGGGGGAGGGGGGGGTTAAAATAATGATCTCCTGCTGACGATCTTCCACGAACAAAGTTCCCTTGAACAAATATGAAAAGTGCATTTTATTCTCGCTTACATCGCGAAGGATCTCCCGCTGAAGATCTTATGCCAACGGAGTCCGCTACAAATATGAAAATTACCTTCTCGTCTCGTTTGGATCGCGAACGATCTGTTGACGATATTACGCGAACGATTCTCCCCTGAAGATATGAAAATTGCCATCTCATCCCATTCGCATTGCGAACGATCTCCATGTACGAGCCAGGTAATCGTTAAATGGTCCTAAATTGAACATGGACATGAATAGAAGTGACGGGTACATTTCACTTCGAGATAATATCTTGATTTTTTCATTGTGTCTTCCTCATTTAGGACAGCCGCCGATAACAATAACGGCGTTACAAATGACAAAGCCGCGGCCTGTGACTTCTATTTGCCGGCTTGATAACGCACCTTAAGCCAGGTAATAGTAATGCAACTAAAGACAAAAGGCCGACGTTCCCGCAATTGAGAACGGGAATTCACATCTAAACCATCTATATTGTGAGTAACCGCTCGCAGGGGTGCACTATTGTTCCTATCTCCCATTGAGAGTGTTATCGGCAATGATATCCTGATCTTATTGTTGTCTTGAATCAACTGACGCATTACCTTCATGTTTGGGCTGGACAACGCGGCCATATTTGGTGACGAAATTTTCAAAAATTATCGAGAACCTCATTTTCAAGGTCGACGAAGTTTTCAAAGGGAAAAAAATTACGTCGGCGGAAAATCGTCTGCCGACGAAATTTTCAAGAACGACGAAATTTTTAAGACTTTACCGTAGTATCGAAGTAGCAAAGAAGCATTAATGCAGTAGTGGTGTGGAGCATATTTGCAGTAGAAATGCAGTATAGCCTACTGCGATGCTACTCCAAAAAGTACATAGGTTTGTACAGAGAGGAGCATTAATGCAGTAGATTAGCAGCATGATAGAAGCATGTTTCAAATATGCTAACTAGCTCCCAAATCGAAGCAGATTTGAGACATGTTTGCAGTATGATTGCAGTAGTCTACTGCGCTGGAGTATCTACTGCGTTTTCGTGCGGGTTGTCTGCCTCGTCAAGCCTTAATTGTTATCTTTTCCAGACGTTCAAAATTTTTTACATATTACCGTATTGTACATTTTACTTTCACCACCACAATGTACTTTTTGATACAGCATAACTTGTAAACCATATGGAAAACAAAACAAGGCAGCAAAGCTGTCAAATGTACAGACAAAAAGCAGGAAATAACAATGCACAAAATAGGCTACTGTCAAATCTGGTGCAAAAGTACATTATGCTTAACTGCAAATTCAACATCAAATTTTAATTATGCTCAACAGGTAATACCAATGTAAGTAAAATGTGTAACAAGCATAAGGCTTCAGGCACATGGAACTTCAAAGTCACACCTTGAAAATGCCAAAATGTAAACAAGACAGCACTGTTCTGCAATGGGTTTATTTCCATTTTTAACACATTTTTAACATAAAACAAAATAAACGTTTTACTGCCATTTTTATTAGATCAACTAAAAAAATTGATGAGATGGGAAAAATATCAATAGAACAGTGTTAAATGTCCAATTTCCTCCATTCTGAGATTCTGAACATAGTGGATGATTGAATCTGATAATCTGCAATGATATGAGTTTATTTCCATTTTTGACACTTTATTACACAATACATGATAACAAGTTTACCAACTTTTTTACATAATCAACTAACATATTATAAAGATGCAGGAAATGTCAAACAAACACTTTTATGTATCTTATTAGTTCAATAATGAGACTGTTAACATGCATAAGAATTGAATCTGAGGAAATGTGAAAAAACAGCATAACTTCAAAATAATGGCCCGATTATGCTGATTTTCTATCTCAACCTGTGTTTTAGTAAGATTGACCAGTATTGTTAGTATAATGACAATTGGCCTATCTGTTTTTCTTATATTGTGTTATCAGGGTTGCATATATGCTGAAAAAATCGAAAAAACAGCATAACTTCCCTTAAAATGGCCCGATCATGCTGATTTTCGAACTCGACCTGCGTATTATAAATATTCATCAATTCTGTAAGTTTCAAGCCAAAAGGTAAAACGGTTTTTCACTTATTGTGTTATAAGTGCTGCATATATGCTGAAAAAAGTGGAAAGAAGTGGAAGTTCTTAGCTTACATAAAATTGACCCGATAATGCTGATTTTCAAACTTGACCTGCATATTATGAATATTCATCAGTTCTATAAGTTTGAAGCCAAAAAGTAAAAAGGTTTTTCACTTATTATGTTATAGGTGTTATAAAAATGCTAAAAAAAGTGAAAAAAACCCCCCAAAATAAACTGCTTACTGACATTTTATATGATCAACTAAGAAAATTGATGAGATGGGAAAATATCAATAGAACAGTGTTAAATGTCCAATTTCCTCCATTCTGAGATTCTGAAGATAGTAGATGATTGAATCTGACAAACTGCAATGATAAAATGCACCAATTGACCCCAAACTTACAGAGATGAAAGATAACCTGAAGGGTAACACCTGCCAATAATATTATAGGTTAGGTCTGTGTAGTTTCTGAATATCAGCGCAAATAATTTTTTTTTCGTAAAAAATTCCCTTTTTTTGAAAATTTTGGCCTGTTTCACCTTGAAATAAAGGTCAACGGTCAAATCCAAGGGCATATTTGAAATCCTCATATATGACTTTCGGTCAGACTTCTATACCAATTTTTCCCATAATTCCTTTAGTTTGAGAGATATATAGCATTAAAGCATGCCACCCTGCAGAGCTGGCGGAGCTCAAGGAGCCGGCAGAGTTGACACACGCTGGTGGTACTAATGATAATCAAATAGAGCTGGTTTTCTAATTTGAGCTGTATGTCCATCCTAAGAATCATTCTTGTAAGTTAAAAAAAATAGTAAGTAACACAGTTTTCTTTCTATAACGTTAAAGCAATAATAACGCTTCCTTTGAGATTCAAAATTCTGCAAGAAATACATTGTAAACAACGCATGGAAATATATTCTATTGCATTTTACCACTAAAACAGTCCCTATTGTGGTAAAACTAAAATCTGTGCTTGTCAATAGGGCTTTCAATGCCTTTCTTCCTGGTCATCAAGGCATCCGTTGCAAATGACGTTAGGGTGTCACGCGGATTCCTGCGTTCATTCGAGACCAGAATAACATCTGGCGCAAAACCCCTGATGAATACGCAGACGTAAGTTGCGAGTTTTTGTACAGTGCGTCGGATAACGAAAAGCCCAGAATTGCACACATTGTAGATATAAATGCATTTTGAGCAATAAGACGAAAATATATTTTATGAATCTTATATTATTGTTATATAGCGTTGTTGTTGTCTGCTTTTCCTACGGTTTTAGGTCACCAGAAACTATCGCTCGATATCGCGTGACTATGCAATGTCAGAGAGGGCTCAGCCAGTTAAAATCTCTTAAGAGATTTTAACAAAAAACCAAACGTTTAGGAAAAAAACCCTGGACTAACTTTGAATGCAGGAATAGGGTCACTGACCATTGGTAAGTACGGGAAAATTGCCGTTTACTCCAGGAAAATCCAATTTTTGGCCAAAACGAAGAGTTATTATGACTTTAATGGTGGCAGTGCACAAAGTAGTCTTTTTTGTCAATTTTGATGCAACATTACATAGTGATTAACTGTATAAATACCACCAATTTTTCATTATCTACTATTAAAAATATAAAAATATGGGTATTAAGAAAATTTGATCACCACTGGGCTTCATATCCAAGGGAGTCCCACAATGAAAATTCTAATATGTGAAAGATAAAAATTTTCTAAAAAAAAAAAAAAAAAAAAAAACTGTATAACCCTCAGAAAATATTCTAATGAGACAGATTTTCCAACTGAAGCTGTATTTCAGTCCTATGTTTCTTTCCTGTAAGTGTGAGAAAAGTAAGTGACAAGGTTTTCCTTTCACGGTCACTATGGAGGTAGTGCCCAAAATAGGGTTTTGTTCAATTTTAATGCAATATTACACAATGCTTAACAGCATAATAACCATCAAATTTTAGTAATAAAATAAAAGTATCACGGATATTCAGAAAATGTGACTAGGCCATAGAGTTCAGATTCACACCTTGAAAATCCCAAAATGTAAACAAGAGATAACTGTACTGAAAAGAGTTTATTTCCATTTCAACACCTTTTTTACATAAAACAAAATAATCAATTAACTGTCATTTTTATATGATCAATTTTAAAAAATGTTGTCAAGGGAAAAATATTAATAGAACAATTTTAAATGTCCAACTTGCTCCATTCTGAGATTCTTAACTTAGTGAATGATTGAATCTGATGAACTGCAATGACATGAGTTTATTTCCAAGTTTGATACTTTATTAAACAATACACCATAACAGGTTTACCGTCATTTTTATATAATCAACTAATAATATTGTTAAGAAGCAGAAAATTAGTTCTATAATGAGACATGCCTAAGAATTAAATCTGAAGAAAAACCAGTCATAATACTAAAAAAGGCATAACTTCATCAAAACTTAACTGATCAAGTTTCTTTTCAAACTTGATCTGTATATACTAGTCAGACTGATCACTCCTGTGAGTTGAAAGGCAAAAAGGCTGATCAGTTTTCCGTACAATGCATTATCAGTGTTGCATATATGCGGAAAAAACCAAAATAACAGTATAACTTTTGTGAAAATAGTCCAATCAAGCTGATTTTCGAACTTGACCTGTGTATTATGAATATTCATCAGTTCTGCAAGTTTCAAGCCAAAAGGTAAAATGGTTTTCCACTCATCGTGTCATTGGTGTTGCATATATGCTGAAAAAAGTGAAAAAAAACAGCATAACTTCCATACAAATGGCCTGATCATGCTGATTTTCGAACTTGACCTGCATATTATGGATATTCATCAGTTCTGTAAGTTTCAGGCCAAAAGAGCAAACAGTTTTCCACTTATCGTGTTATCAGTAAAAGTGCACAGCGATGGCGATGATGGTGATGACAGATGCAGGTGACTGCTATTTGTACAGACACAGATGTGTCTGTACATAAAAAAAACTTATCAGAAGTTAATTATAGCCTTCAAAATGAGATTTTGTAACCATTAAGTAAATAAATTGCCGCATGTAGGAACAACAATCCAGTTTTACTAAAACAAACACTGAAATCTTTAACTTAAAAATTAATGCATCATTTCATAAAATATATTCTGTAATTATTATTACTAATTCTTTATGCTTACCAAATCAATAGTTTTGGCTCTTGACTTCTTGTCATCACTGCACCAAGTCTCACACCACAACCTAAAGGAAACAGAAGCTTTTCAACAACAATTCCTCATGTGAGTTGAGGTGTCTTTACTTTAATGTGCTAGATATAATGTTGTAGCATTTAATGAAATCTTTATAGTAGATACATTTTGAGAAATTAAAAAAAAAGTTTAAGGGGGTTAACTCCCAAGATGGAAGTACATCAAGTATAATTCTGGCTTTCTTTATCCTCAATGTACCCATTAATATTTCCCCAATGTTGAGCTTACTTATGCCCTGGTTTGGTAAACCTCTTGAAGCAAGTTAAAATCTTGACATCTCTGCTATATTTCAGGGGAACATTTGGAACGAAGAATACCAAGATATGTAGTTTTTTAGTGCACAAATTATTTTAAGTGTACTTTGTGTAAAAAAGACAATATACCAGAATTATCAATATACCTCATTCTTTGGAGTTAAAATTGTTTATATATTCTGCTAACTACATATCCAGTGGTACCTAAGGAGATTCATGTCACTGTGGAATTCCACTCACAGCCCTCAGTGACAAACATACAGTAGTATCTACAGTTCACAGGGGCGGATTTAGGCCGTCTTCTGGGTCTTCTGGAAGACGGTCAGATTTTCAAGTTTACATTGACGGGTATCTAATTTTTTCTGTTGGAAGACGGTCAAAAATGGAGGATAGATCAATAAAGATAATTTGGAAGACTGTCAGAATATATCTCTGGATCCGCCCCTGGATCACCATGGAATTCCACTCACAGCCCTCAGTGATATACAGTAGGTATCTACAGATCACCATGGAATTCCACTCACAGCCCTCAGTGATATACAGTAGGTATCTACAGATCACCATGGAATTCCACTCACAACAGTGGCATACAGTAGCTACCTGAGAAAAATTAAGTGCGCATGCTCATTGGTCTCTGGTCAGCTGACATTATCTCCGTAGATAGCTGATTCATTGCTGCTCTACTGGCCAATTCATTCCTTTTTCGTCTCTGTTTTGAAAGATAATAGAAAAGAAGAGCTTTTTTCCTTCAATCGCCTCTAGCCGTCATGCCTTCTTCACCTCGAGTTTAATTGATGAGCATGCGCACTTAACATTTCTCAGGTAGCTTCCGGGTGAATGGAGCCAAGATTTAATGACTGTACCCCCTCAGGGACGACGCGTAGGGAGGCGTGTGAGAGGCGGAGAGACTATTAACAAATTAGGCAGTTTTCCTTTCATGTACGTCTGCCATATTTAGGTCTCGGCTTTGTAGAGTCTCAGCTCTTTTCGATGTGAATGTGGCCTTTATCAACACCTATAACAGTCAGCAACGTAGACACAGCTTATCAGTAACAAATCGTGTAGTTATACTTTTTTCATACTAGATGATAACTTGACTGCAAGGATGACACAGAGACACATTGTCAATTAAGACAAAGAGGATTAAAGGAAGGGTAGATAAAAGATTTGCAGTTTGCTCGTTTTGAAAAGAGGCATTTACACCATTGGGATAATGTTGAAACTTCCAGAAATTTTCAGGTTTTTTCTCTATCTAAACATGAAATGGGTTTTTGCTTATGTGTAAAAACAATTGCCCATAAAGCTGTGAAAGTAGGGGAATACTACAGGGCCCCGTAACTGGAAAGCATCGCATATGGTGAATAGCAATATCACATATAGGCAACAATGTTTTACATGGAGCGAGTATGGTTGAATTATGGAATCAAGACGCTTGCACTCGGTCGCAATGCACGATGCTTTCAAGCTACAAGGCCCATGTCCACAATGTCCTGACAGCTTACCTAATGTGGTACTTCCTGCCAGCAAGAGGACTTGCCCAGTAACCAGACTTCCAGAACCTGACAGTTACAAACAGAGATGGAATTAGTACATGCAGTTATTCTCTTCAAGGACACTTAGATCTGTTTTCTGTGTCATTTCAAAGAACGTAATAACCAGAAAGCAATGCTGCCAAACATACAGACACTGGATGACATGGACAGACCCAATTATCAAATTACATACTAACACATACATACACTGCCCGTTTACAAATGATACCTGGTTAGCACTCAGTATTTAGAGGATGAAGCTAGTACTGACGGTTTTTGTGGATATTTCAGGCACCATATGTCATGTATTCCATCTCTTTCCTGCTATCCCATGTTTATTTACCTGAACCCATCCATCTCTTTCCTGCTACCACAGAATGGAGTGTTGCCGTAAGGTGCACCACCAAGGTCAAGGTCATATAACTCCTGAATATCTGCACCTGACACAGAAAACAGTTAGGGATTAGTAAAAAAATTAAACATAACGAGAATCCTGTGGAACAAAATAATGTTATGAGATAATACTTAAAACATTATAAAAAGTATTTTCTTCATGTATTTTTCTTTAAGCTTTGAGTCTAATGTATTGAGGTGAAAAAATGAAATGGCTGGAACTGTATTTAAAAAGAAAATCTGGTAAAACTGGCATTAAGCATTTTAGGAGGGAAAATATCCAAAATCTGGATTCATTGTTTCAGATATTTGTTTTTATAAAAATTGCTATTTTTAATGCAGGCAATTCAAGTTAGATTATGTACCTTGTACAAATACTAAGACAGCATCTCACTAAAAAACAAGAAGTTTTTGTAAATCAATTTGTGGCAACTGGAATCATAAAAAGGAGTACAAAGTCTTTTTACCTGATCAGCATCAACAATTATAATTTTTTCTACATCAAGTGTGAAGGTGACAGCACTTCTACCTGAGGAATCTCTAATAAAGGTGTCCTGATGCCACTGAAAATATATTCACTTTCTTCACTCGATTCCCCTCTTCACTAGGGCCTGAGAGGGAACTGGAAAACAAAGAGGAAACATGAGAGGCAAAAGAATATGACAGAGATTTTGTCCTGTGTTCAGCAAGTCATGCCATAGGGGTCCCTTCTATAAAAAACTGTAAGACAATTGTAGGAAACAGGAAATTTCAAGATAAATGTCCCATTCAAAATAATACACAAACATACTGTGCATACAGTAAAACTGTAACTGCAACTATTCTTCACAATCGCCCCAATAAAGGACAGTTAAAGGGATAATAACTCTTCGTATGAGATCTATATTTCACAATAAAAACATTGTGAATAACTCATAGAAATAGAATATATTCTGTTTTACCATAAAAACGGCAGTTATAACTATAAATTCTGATATTTGAGCTTGTCTTTAAACCACGTGACCTCCATTGATGGCTATACTCTGTTAAAATCTCTTAAGAGATTTTAACAAAAAACCAAACTTTTTAGAAAAAAACCAGGGACTAACTTTGAATGTAAAAATGGATTTATTAACCATTGGTTAGTATGGGAAAATTGTTGTTTACTCCAGGAAAATTCATTTTTTGGCCGAAACGAAGAGTTATTATCCCTTTAACAAAAACAGCTTAAAGCATTAAAAAAACTATAATATGAAAATATGTTATCAATAATGGAATTAATTATTCTAATTGAAATTAAATATTGCATAAGAAGCAAACAAAATGGTCATACATTATGTGTAAACACGGTAATACAATGTACATTTTATTAAATAACAAAGATTTGGTTTCAATAAAATTGAATACCATATTGATATATACGTAAGAATAGAAGATCTGTAGATTAAAAAAAATTAATTATAATCAAATATCTATATTAAAAACACACAAAATTACACAACTACACTGACGCTGATCCATCACCTGGTTATAAAAAACCATTAAAAGCCCCTGCCTGCAAATTCTGACATTCCATCAACATTACATTATCCAGAACATAAAGCTGGCAAAAAATCACAATGTGATGTCACCTTGATCACAACAGAGAGGAATATACAGATAGTCTGCTTAAAAAAACTTCAAACATGCACTAACAACTTAATACATATACACATGCCTGGAAAATTTTGTCTCGGGCCGATAAAAAAACCTGTATTGTCGGACCTTATGTCCAGCAAGTTTTCAAAGTGACTGGGAATGTGTAAATATAGGGAATATGTTGTTGTTTCTTTTCTGGGCGATATATATTTTACTTCATTCAAAAAGAGAAACAGGATCAAACTCCCGGGGAGTTCCCAGCTAATTATACATAATTAATTAACCTCAGTTTCACTCACAAATACTATTTTGTGACTGGCTGAGGTTGGGGGATTCCTGGATGATGTAATGTACAGTCTCGTTTTTGTGATACCCTTGCGCAACAAAATGGCTGCAATACATGTGCTCACGCTTTTTGCGGTTTTTACTGACTTGATCCTCTGTTTCTTCTTAATCGTGCACAGTACTCATGGCTAAGTCTTTTGATTAGAAAGGTGACGTTGTTGAACTTAAAATACTTTGTTGGTGCACAGCGTGGGAAAAATGAAAACAAAGTGTGGAAAAGAACCAGACTGATTGGAAGTTTTCTGAAATTGGAAAGAAGGTAGGCCCTGGCGGACTAACAATCTGGGGGAGACGAAAATGGTGTGTACTGAGTGTCAGAAGTATTATGATCAACAGCAACATAAATCTTATTGCTTTATTATGGGTTCTGATATTATCTAACATATATATCTACTTGCACATGTACTGTTTAGCCCACGAGTTGGAGAAAGTACACATGAACTTGATGAAGGCTCACAGTTTGTGTTTCTTTTTATTAAGAAAAAAAAATGAAGAAGGAATTTAGCCTCAGGCTGGGCATCCCCTATCAAAGTTTCCATTGGATGAAAGAGACTGTCTTACTGTGCTGTTTCACAATGCATATGTTATATTGCCAAAAAAAAACGGATGAAATGGTTATCTGATTACACATTCGTCATACTTGTATTGGTCTTAGTCCTTGTATCATTCTACTACACCTTTTTCATTAGATAAAAAAACTTGTCATGCAAATCATTTTTTGTCTATTTTTTTCTTTAATATATATATATATATATATATATATATATATATATATATATATATATATATATATATATATATATATATATATATATATATATATAATTTAATGCTGATAATTAAAAAGGTTATAAAATACACCTGAAAACAAAAATAATTTGTCAAATTTCAATTATTATACTTTGGTCTGAGAGATTTTGTTTCAGTCTGACAGAATTTTCAAACTTGCCAGACCAAATGTCTGACAGATTTTTTGGCCTTTAGTAAAGTCTGCACCCAGTGTATGGAAAACTTGGAACTGATTGAAAACTGCAGTCAGATGAAGGGACAGACTAACAAATGAACAACCTTATTCTGTTACTCTCTTAGCACAAAATCTAGATAAAACAAACTTAAAAGAGATGCAAAGAAACATCTATCAAGACACTTTTTTTGTCATACAGCCTCTGTCAGTATTAAGAAATGTTTTCAGCCTCCTCTACCTGCTGTCTATCCCAGCTGGCAAATTATGTTGTTTTAACATTGAAACAACGTTGAACCATAACGCTGATAATACGTTGGATAACCATTGAATTTGAAAGTTGACTCAATGTCAGATAACAACAATGTATCAACCCCCAGTTGTTAGACAACATTCTTGCATGAAAAGACATTAAAATGACCTGAAATGTTTTTATTTTTGGTACAAAACACAGGTACACAATTATAACGTACACTGTAAAAACATCCAAGTGCCTGCTTTGTCTGATTTTTTCAGTGCATTTACCCAGCGGGCAAAATATGCTGTTTTAACATTGAAACAACGTTGAACCATAACGTTGATAAGACGTTGGATAAACATTGGATTTATCAAAATTATTGCAAGATAACTGGCAAATGTGCCAAATGAACCATAAAATCAGGTTGATATCAGAGTTCAGATGCCAACATATCACCTATTTCAATATAGGTGAACATCATTCCTAGGTGAACAGGCAAGATGTATGAGTGATACACGGGCTAACACACCAGGCTTTGCTGTTTCTAAATAACAGTTAAGTTGCAAATATCACAATCTTAAAAATAAGCCAAAAGTCACATCCAGACAAATTCTTTACCTACTACACACAATTCAAATTTTAGGGTGACCAAAAATTCTTTATCCTTCATCTCTACACTAGAATATAATATACACACTTAATCTCTTCACTGAAATAAAACATACACACTTCATCTCTATGCTGGAATACAACATACACACTTCATCTCTACACTGGAATACAACATACACACTTCGTCTCTACACTGGAATACAACACACACACTTCGTCTCTTCACTGGAATACAACATACACATTTCATCTCTACACTGGAATACAAAATACACACTTCATCTCTACAACATATATACGCTTCAGCTCTACACTGGAATACAACATACACACTTCATCTCTACACTGGAATATAATATACACACTTCATCTCTACACTGGAATACAAGATACACACTTCATCTCTACACTGGAATACAACATAAACACTTCATCTCTACACTGGAATACAACATACACACTTCATCTCTACACTGGAATATAACATTCACATTTCATCTCTACACTGGAATATAACATACATCCTTCATCTCTACACTGGAATATAACATACACCCTTCATCTCCACATGTTCTTGAAGAAAAGTGTTATTTTCACAATATGGAAATATGTTTTACCTGGATAAAGAATCTCATAACCCCTCCTCTTGTCTCCTACTCCTCCCAACAAATCATCTGACCCCTGCCCTGGCTTCTTGCTTACCTAAAAACAGATCACAATGAGAGAGCAGTTATTCTGAAAATAAGCAGATCACAATGAGAGAGCAATTATTTTCAAAATAAGCAGATCACAATGAGAGAGAGCAATCATTTTGAAAATAAGCAAATCACAATGAAAAGCAATCATTTTGAAAATAAGCAAATCACAATGAGAGAGAACAATCATTTTAAAAATAAGCAGATCACAATGAAAAGCAATCATTTTGAAAATAAGCAGATCACAATGAGAGAGAGAGCAATCATTTTGAAAATAAGCAGATCGCAATGAGAGAGCAATCACTTTGAAAATAAGAAGATCAGAATGATGGAGAACTTAGAATGGAACTTAGAATGGACTCTGGTTACTCTCCGAGTACACATATCCACTTTGAATAATCTGCATGTACATATATGGCAATACCTCATAGATGATATAGTTTATATTTTGTGAAGCAAGTGCTTTACACACCTCTGAAACAGGTCAACAAAGCAAGCTTACTGAGCCTTATAAACATAAATTCTGTAAATATGAATAATACTTGAGAAAATATTTTATAATTAAAACTGAAGAAGCTGGTAGGAATAATATGTTTTAGTTTGATCTTTATCTGGTTTGGTAGTAGTGTAACAGTATTTTCTGTTTTTAAGTAGTACCTAGAACAGCAGAATCATTCTGTCAACATAAATTTTCCACAAACCCATGAAAGTCACCACCCTCAGCACTACCCACCTTGACTTTGATGATTTTACTGAGGAAACTGTTCATGACAATAGTAATGTTAGGTGAATCTGGTGGAGAGTCTGTCCTCTCATGGCTAGAGGAGGAAAACGTAGAAGATGAACAGTATATAAAGAACCATTATAGCCTTCATTAACTTTTCCTAGCAAGGTTAAAACATTTAGTCTCAACAAAGCAAAATACTAAGTAATAACATCAACTGGCCGACTTGTTAGTCCAAGGCACTGAAAATGACTCCAGAACACAGAATCATACGTAACTTGAAATTAATACATAATGTACTTGATATTTTCATCGAATTTAGGACATCTACAGCCCAAGACAATAACTTACACCACATTAACTTTAGCAAATAAAGGTGATTAAGAACAACTCTACTATGGCAGCACAAAGTGGTAACTAACCTTGCTATCTTGTAGATTTCCTCTGAACGTTCATGTCAAAGTTGTAACATCCAAGCCCCTGGCTTAGCTTTCAGTTGGAAATAACCCTAAAATAGTGATTTAAGGCAAGTTAATATTTCAAGCATTTTGTCAATTGCCAGAATTATTCAAACGAGAAAAACTAACAATAGTGACAGCACAGAAGAAAATGTACAATGCAATGTCTGCACATAAAAAGAACCCCTGCAAAATTGAAGAAAAAAATGATCCACTAATAACACTACATCTAATTTGTGTCTGAAGTAAGTGAAGAAGTTTTAAAAACAATAAATGCCAATTACATGCATGTAAAAGAGTGTGTTTAAACTTTAAGATATCCAACTAGGTAAGCTTTAGTATCAGCAATATTCTAGGATGTCCCTTATACCAAATATACACAAAGCAACACATTTATGAGACTGCCATCATACCATGAAAATAAAATGTGAATTTTAATTCAATAATTACAGATAAGATAAAAAATATCCTCAGAGAAGCACTTTGCTATACCTAAATACATCATAGCCTGTACTCCCAGGTCACTTTTCTATGGAAGGTTTTAAACAGATTACTCTTCAGGGCCCAGTTGCACCAACCGGTCGTAAGTGAGGCGTAGCAGTTGCGCCGGCGTAAACAGGGTGCAAAATGCTACGCCCGAGAAAAGCCAGTTGCACCAAACTGGAGTAGTGTTTACGTCGGTCTTAACTTAGTCGTAAATTTACGCCTGCTAGTTAGGTGGAGTAAGTCGGTCGTAGCTCGTTTTCCACTATGGCTAGGCTGGCACAGAGAGAGTTTGATGACAATTATCGTAGTTAACGTAGATTATGTGGGTTGCTACTTTAATGTATCTTTTATGATCAAATACAGCTACATATTTCATGTTTTTCTTATTAATTCTGTTCGAAGCATCTGTCAGTCAGATGACTTATTTTTCAGATATTTAAAATTAATCAAATAATCAGCCATTCTGTGTATCTTTGTAGAAGCACAGTCATACCCTGAGAGTTGGTATTGTCCACAACCCCCGCAGTCCCAGTACCAAGTTGTATGAAGGCAGCCAGATTCCACTGAACTCTTTAGACTTCCAGATATCGTGAGATTCTCGTATTGCGACCTAGTTAAAACCAGTTCAAGCTGCCGGGAAAAGACAACATGGAACAGGAGGCTCAGTTAGCTGGGACTCCATCGAAGAAGGTAAGAAAGATAACAAAAAGAAAAAAGGAAACACCCTTTACAAAAATCAACACCAGAAAAGAAAATGCGTAAAACAGTGTATCAGCAAATGTACGACAAACAAACAATAAACACCGGCAAAGGAAGAAGGCAGATGAAACCTGCTTGGGTGGCCATGGATACGAAGGATCGCCAGGCCGCGAAATATTTACTGGATTTGTGAGTACCATTTACAATAATGTTTGAGATAAGACACCAGTGAAAACATTTATTAAGCACATAGATTAATGTTTATTTATGTGTGTTTGTTGTGTTTCTTAACGATTCAGTCAGGCTCGTCTGTCAAAATATGCCATGAAATTGTAACAAATATGATTGGTATCGATGACAGAAATTACAAGTGTTGCTCATATGTCGACTCTGACAGGGTTTGGATTAGTTTATACAGCAAAGAAAGTTTAAATGGAAATGGACATGGTGGGAGATACTAGTCTCATTACATGTACATTACAATGACTGGGGCGAAATGTTGACTTACCGAGGGCACATTACTTGTGCCTCTTACATCTGGGCAGACAAAAAACAGTATTCAAGACGTATGACCAAGATGCTATTTCTTTAGGCATCTAAATCAAGTTGTAGTTAATACTAGTGCAGTTGAAGATGATAGTCTAGATAATTGAAGTCGATCATATTGAGAAAAATGGCATTTATACTTATTTCAGCTGAGTTTTATGCTTATTTCAATTATGTTTTTACATGATTTTTCTTAAACTTGACTATCTTAATTTTATGTAATGTTGCTTTTTTTTTTGGTTGCCGTATCAAGGTAACATTTTCCTATGGGATGCCTGAACTGGAAGAAGTGCAGATGGAAGAGGAGGAAGATGCTGAAGAAGAGGAAATTAAAGGATCCAGATGATCCAACATGGGACTGAACATGTGTTTAGAGTAAGCAGAATTTTAATCAGCTGATAATCATTTGTCTTATATTAGGCATTATAGGTGCATGATTTCTCTTTCATCAATTATTTTTCCATATTGGCAACACATAATGTAAATTTTGATTTGCTTTTTTAGACCTTTAAGATTATGAGAAACTGCCAGTATGATGTCCTGAAGAAGAGATTTTTTTTACTTGGAAGAGGAACTCCATGGCTCTCCACCAAAAGACGAGGAACTTTTCTTGAGGGTCCAAAGCAGGGATGAGTTGGATAGTGAGAGACTTTTCCTGACTTTTGAGTGCTCCTTACAGGATATATTCAGTGAACTCATCTTGCCACTGTGACAAAGCATAATCTGCTGACTTCAAGCCATGTAGTACTGGCATGTATGCTATAATGCAGACAGATTGGAAGTCAAAGTGGTCTTTCCTCCCAAACCTAAGTTATATGCCTGATATTGAGAAGGAACCATTTTGGTCCAGCATTTACTTCTTAACCCTCATCCACAAGGAAATGGAACCCTACGTAAACCCTGAAACCGGGCCTCAGAGGCCCAGTGTACCATGAAAATCTGACTCCCATCAAAAAACATTCAAAAATCTAATTTAATTTGAGTAAATGACTATGATCTTGTAGTATGCATAATGGAGGACACATTGGCACTTTTTGTTAGTTTGCAGGTGAAGATTTTCATGAAAAAAATAAAAAAAAATTAAAGATTTGTATTTTACCACCCAAGGACTCCCCTGTGAAAAAGCTATTTATTTGACATTTGATTACCATTTCAACATCTTTTCTTTGAGGATACTTTATGAGGAATATATTGAAAGTACTTGAAAGTTTAATGGTTAAAAAATTGGGTGAAAAAAATAATAATAATAATAAACACATTAAAAAATAAGATAAATTAAAGATTTATATTCGAACACCCAATGACCCCCCTATGAAAAAGCTATTTATTTGATATTTGATGAACATTCTGACATCTTTTCTTTGAGGATACTTTATGAGGAATATATTGAAAGTACTTGAAAGTTTGATGGTTAAAAAATTGGGTGAAAAAAATAATAAAAAACACATGAAAAATAAGAAAAATTAAAGATTTGTATTGTAACACCCAATGACTCCCCTATGAAAAGGCTATCTATTTGATATTTGATCATTCTGACATCTTTTCTTTAAGGATACTTAATGAAGAATATATTGGAAATATTTGAAAGTTTGAATGGTAAAATACTGGGTATGCTATATAAGAAGAATTCAGTAAAAAGGCGATGGGGCCAATTTCTTGAGTTAAAAATGTAGCATTTTGACATGGAAGTGCAAAACCTACAGGTAGTAAGATGAATACTTGTTTTAAAAATATTCACCAAAATTTTCACCACCAAACTTTCAAATAATAACAAAATGTACATCTCTGTGCAAACTATGTAGAAAACAATGCTATGGTGACTGAATATAAAATAGGTCCTTTTCTTCATGGGAATCCAAATTTCATGGGTATAAAAATGAAGATTTTCATGATTTATTTTTCATTCTTTCACTCACTATTTTATCATCAAACTTTTAAATATTTCCAATATATTTTTCATAAAGTATCCTAATAGAAAAGATGTCAGAATGATCATCAAATATCAAA